AATTAAATTCACATGGCAGGTTTTTAATCATTTAGAATATATTGAACGTCAAGGGGAGGGGATTTGGATAGCTCGCAACATTATCCTATTCTTAGCTAAGATCAACAAATGCTCACCGCGAGGGGATTCTGAAGGATAAAACGCCCGCGCAATAGAAATGAATGAAGTTATACGGTTTGCTAATGTTTCATATTTTAAAAATATCAAGGCTTGCATGTAAGACCAGGAGAAATCAATAACTAAAAAACAAAACAAAACAAAACAAAACAAAAAACAAGCAAAACGGAAATTGCCGAGAATATTATCTGAAATCGTCTAACGCCAAAAATACTACCTCCAGCCCTCTCCACTAGCGTCAAAACCATTATATTCAACAGTCGGTTTTTTTATAATCGTTTAAGGTCTCCTCAATTTTGATAAATATTGCTTTAACCAACGCTATGACTGTCAAACTGGGATCAGCTCACTCAACCACTTAGAGCTAACCTTAGGCAGTTTTCGTACGTTTTCCAGGCAACAGTACGGTTGTCATGTGAAATCAAGAATGTTTTGAATGAATGTGAAAGACCATTTCAGCACCGAGTGGTTCACGCCAATGCCGGCCGCAGTATTGCGTGGAGAATCTTACGACAGAGGCTGGTGAGTTGATATAAACCTTTTTTTATTACTTGCTGTTTAATACATATATGTGCCTGTAACTCCTAACAAATCATGTAACTACTGCGAATTGGTGGAGCCTTTACCTCCCGCGGGGTATACATATTAACATTGTTACTTGAACTAGAAGTTGTACCGAAGATTTAAATCAATCACATCAATTTTCCTATATTTTTGTCGTGCCATTCGCTTACCGCGTTTAGCTCACAGTACCTTCTTTAAAAAAAAAAATGAAATGACAGGCGACAACAGGGCCGTGGTCCATTAGTAACAGGCGAACTAACGGTCTTGCCTTGATAAGATCAAAAGATCTAAAAAGCTTCTTTTCTGATTTTGCCTCGGTATGAATTTTATTCTGGCCACGACCGTGGACAAACATAACTTTAAATGAATAAATAATATGAAGAATACAGCCAAAATAACGGCCGCAAACACTTCTGTTCATTTTCCAACGGTGTAACACTCAAGGAGATGCTAGGATATCTCTTTATCACTAAAGGATAACGTTTTTCGTTACGTGACAAAAACTTTTATTCGCTTTCTGACCATTCTGAGACTACCAGACTTCATTTTTTTCAGACTCACTGTTTATAGGTCTTCACCTCTAGCAGTTCTTTCTTCGTGGCTTGTTACGACCTACTTCATCGGGTTCTTGAAAGCTTTCAAGGAGAATATGTTTCTATCAACCCAAAAGCTCGAGATATTTCTCAGTTTTTACTGTGATTCCAAACTTAAATGACTCAAGCCAACTTAAGGAAGTGTTAAGAGTGGCATTGATATAAACCCGCAGCAAGCTGTAGCTTCTGTTCCTTTTCAGTGATAGTGATCGAAATGTTTTCCTTAGGCAAGCTACCGAGAAACCACTGTGAAAGTACACCGCGCGTCCTTGATCGATTTCATTGCAAGCCGCACCTTAAATCTAATCTTCTATACGTAATAACGAAAATAAATTTTTAGTTGAATGCAGAGGTAATTAAATTATGACATTTTATACTAAGAATTCGAAAGAAAACGTGGGTCACAATTAAAAGTTGAAATGACCGCATTGGTAATTAATAAACTGCCACTGATTCTACTCGAACAAGAAGTACCGTATACGATCAGAATACTGAGTAAATACCGCTCTAAATGACGCCTCAAACGGATAAGAGGAAACGCTTGTTTCGTGGTAATCGACCTAAAAAGGCGGTATTAGTCAGGTTTAGTGACAAAACTTTCTAGGACACGAAATTTAGCTTCTTGACAGGCGAAAAGGTCATGGCTAAAGCAAGTCCAAGACAACACCTTAATTAAGAAGTGATGCCGTAGAGCCGGAACCAAGAAGCGAGCCATGAGTGTATTCGTAACCTGCGGATGTACAAAGATTTCTGCCAGTTGTTTTATGCCGCGCCAAAAATACGCATTTTCGAGATAATCTTACGTAAAACAACGCATGGAAGTGGGTCCAAAGTTCACAGGCTATATTGGTCGTGAAATCAGTTTTATTTTACATTCATAACCAAGGTTTCACGTGGTTGATATTTTTTGCTCTATTTGTGCCAATATCAATCGATTTTCCTCAGTTTGCGTCGATCTGCTGTAAAGGAAGTTGACACCGGTTAAGTTTACCCCTTCAAAGGAGACCATTTTCAACGGAAGGTTTGATAAATATGTACCAGTTTAAAATTGCCATTAATCAAATTTTAATGTTGCAGACAAATATTTATGTTTTGGTACATTTTAAGCTACGAATGTTGACTAAATGTTTAAATTAAAGAATCAAAATTTTGCAAACTGTAAGCGGCTGTAAATTATAGCAATTCGGCAGACTGATAAAAGGAAATGTAATTTTGGCACTTTTCTCGTCACAATGAAGTAAGACACCGAATTCATTTATTTTAAGTAGCTTTTCAGATATATACATATTTGGAGGATCCTACATGCTTCTTAAATAGATTACCGTTGTCACGGTTATGAAATTTGATATCACAGGAAGACTTTCGGTGCATTTGGATTGGGCTGCGGAAGAAGAATTCATTGCCTCTTCTCTTAGATTTGTCAAAATAGGATATACAAGGTATCTGCTTAACAGGTTAGAATGCAGTTTCATAACCATCGACGCGATAACCGAATTAGTCTATTTTTCAGACAGATACCTCGGCAGTTTCAATCAGCGTCAGTTAGAGATAAACAAGGTTGCAACATCAGGGTTTGCGCTTGCGCGCTTCCAATTGAAGGCTTATTGACGCCAATTTCAAAGCAAGGATCTTTACTTTTTTGACTTGAATTTTACAAAATTTTAAGATTTCGTTGTGCTTTCAACAGACGACAGACGCATTTGTTATGAGACGCAGAATTAACCGGTGTATAGAAAACTAAGGGTCTAGCGGTCCGTCTTTGTACACGACAAAGAAAAGTAAAAAATCATTATCGTTACAAGTCTGATGGGCCGTGCAATGCAATACGAGTATCATTGCCTTAAAAATTCAACAGGTCCCTTCAAATTTTGAAAAATATCACGAATAAAGGTTTGCGTGCGATACCACGAGCTGAAATATAAAATCAATTACTTCTAATTCAGCATGAAGCCGATCGCATTAAGTATTGGAAGACAATAGCTTAAAAATGCAACTTTTTAAGCCTGAAATCAAATGCTCCAAATACTAACAACTTCCTTTCACCATAGCGGTCCATAAATTCCCTTCAATGTTAAACCCGAAAATTTGCTGGTTCATGCACCGGTACAGTGTCCCATAGTTGATGATGTGCTAAATTCTCAATACCACACTCTTTTTTCTATAAAATAAATTGTTTTTCCAGCCTAGGCTGAATATTCTTATTTTTCTTCCGATTTTAGGCTGTAAATATTCCTGTAGATATTCTTAGATTATAGGAATGCAAAGTGAGCTGTTGACGTAATGGTGGCGTGAGCAATGAGAATTTGCATGTTGTTGATCAAAGTAAAAAAGTTTTCTTTCTTTCGTCGCGGTGTTTCCTAGAAGAAATAGAAAATATGTTCTCTGTGTTTCAACTCGAAAAATTTATGGATACACTCGCCTGTCGGTTTGTGTTCCCACAGCATGTCTCGTTCCCCCAAACTTCCACTTGTGTTTTTATAACTCGAGAGAAACACGGAGCATGTGTAGTCAGAGATTAATCAGATACACTTTGATAGCGCACAGAAGACCATTTAGGTTGAGTGCTGTATTTTCTGTTTTTTCAAACGCGATAACGAAGACACTATACAAAAGATCTTCTTTCAGTTTAGTTTTTCTTTTGCATGACGTTTTCATTAGTGTTCTTCTCCTCCGTGGAGCTCATTTACTCTCTGAAATCGTCTCTATGATTAACGAAAAAAGGAAAACAATTCTTGGGTGCTTTCCATTCGAAAAAAAATTTCGGAAATATGACGTAGTACAGAAATTTCCTGAAAAAGTTTCGGAAAAATCCATATTGTCAGGA